TTGGTGCGGGACAGGTAGAAAACATTGGCTTGGTTTTTTAAGGGAAAAAGGATTATAGGATTATATTCGGAAGAATTTGTACGTTATCTATTTTTGTGATATATTCAGGTAACTTCTCCATGGTATATTAGGTGCTGTAGATACACAATTCAGGTCAGTATCGTTCCAAAGTGTGTTCGACCAACATCTGGTGTTTGGTTTCAAAGTTTTGTATTGCAAGTTTTTATAGTGTTTTGCTTCATTATGATGAGTAATCTACATCACCAGTGTTTCAACCCGTTTAAGTCAGAGAAACACCGGTACCATAGAAAATGTGAACGCAAATTGAGAAATGTAAATCCGTCGCTGCTAAAAAAATTGAGACCGGAAAATCAACCTCCATCAGCGGAATCGAAAATTTGTGACACATGCCGACTGAAACTGGTCAAAATGCCCAATCTAAGTGAAGCCAGTAAAAGTTCTACGCTTACAAGTGAGGAAAGTTCTACGCTTTCAAGTGAGGATCCACAACCCAGCACAAGTGCAATACGGGGGCCGGACCAACAAGCAGTGAGGACTTCGTGGATATCGACACATTGAACGCATCTTTGGTTGGATTGGGAGAAGCACACTAACATTTCATTGCATTAGGCCAATAACGAAGAAGAAAGTGTCAGCCAAGAGATACTCAAACGCAGAAAGCTCTGTCGAGGCCCTTGTTTCTAAGTAAATGTTTATATATTATTATATTATTGGAGTGATTTTAATAAACAATTGTCTTAGCACCAAAACCACCGTATTATTCACACCTTCTACAATCCCTCGACAAAACCTTCTTTTCTAGAACTACACCAGTTCTATTCAATAGTTAATAATTTTATACATGTATACATAATAGTTTTAGTCATATGATTTACTTGATTTTACTTTTAAATTTAATAAACAAGTACAGTCCAACCTTTTTTATTCTTAACCACAAATAATAATTTGGTTTTGCTGCCAATATAACAGAAATAATTGCCAACTAATCTCCCAAATTTTTGACGTTGTCAAATTCCGAATAAAAAAAACAAACTCTATGTTATAAAGTATAGATATATCTATACTCTATAACTCGAAGTTTAAAAGATATACTCCGTATGTCGAAGTAGGTAATGATATCAGTTTAAAATTTTCTTAAGCAATAAAGCTAAGAAAAGTTTTATTTTTTTTATTGGTCATTAAACTTTTTGTGTACCTTATGTTAATTTACCTTACCTTACATTTAAATTTTTTCACAGGTGCATTCATTAAATTTTTTGTTTACCTTATTTCGTTATTTTACCTTCTCTCTTTGTTTATATTTATGATTTAAACTAAGCACATATTATTACCCTATGTTCCTTAACTCAAAAGAAGGTGATTGGTTATTTCTAGATTTTTACATATATGTATAATATACATTGTATATGTATATATACATTAGGCGTCCCATACTCTCAATTTGCCCAAGGGCGTAAGGTTACGCCGCGCGCCGCGTCACAGGCCGTGTCGCTGTTTTGACCCAGTTCTTATCAATCCTCCAAGCTATAATTTTGGGTTTTTATAGAGAATCGATCAAGGAATACGATGATATTTTTTTCAAAATTTAAAAGAGTGACAATGGTCTCGAAAATCACGTTTGAGTAATATAATTGTTTATAACAAATGCAATAGTCAATTATCTTGGAATTAAATATATATGTCATGAAAGTGTCTTCCAAGAGCTACAAAATGCATTTTTGATGAAGTCTGTAGGTTGAATAGAACCGGAGATATAGGCAGTTGAAGGAGGCCGTGTTTTCGATTTTTGGGCTTTTTGCGAAATTTCAACCCCTTGTAACTTCTAAACTAGGGGTGATAAAAATAAAAAAAAATATTTTATCTATTCATTTGTTCCAAAGAACCTGTAGAAAAATTTATATTAAAATCAGAGAACTCAAGGTCATTTTTCACCTGTTTTTGTCCGGTTTGACGTGGAATGACTCACATGTGCCAGCTCTTCATCCAATACTCGAAACACTTCTAAAACTTGATCTTTGGGATAGCCTTTAGTTCTTTCAGCGATGCGCTTTTAATGTCATCTATGCTTGCAAAACGAGGGCCCTTTAAGATTCTCTTTATTTTTGGGAATAGGAAAAAGTCAGAAAGAGGCATGTCTGGCGAATATGGAGGCTGGAGTATCATTACAGTATTGTTTTTGGCCAAAAATTTTGTTCAAAATTAAACAATTTTGGAGCAAATTTTGCTGCCACGCGTTTCATACCCAAAACATTCGAAAAAAATTCATGGGATGAGCCAATCGATATACCAACATCATCAGCGACTTCTCTGATGGTTTATAACCATTTCTTTCACTTTTTCCATGATTTTATCGGTTGTTAATGTGCTTGTGCGTTCGGGGCGTTCGTCATCTTCAACGTTTTCAAGGTCATCTTTTAAACTCTTATACCACTTCTAAACTCTTGTTTTACTTATAGCAGACTCACTATAGCATAACATTTCACAGAATTTATTTCATTTTTTAAGCAAAATTGGATACAAATTCTTTGATCCATTTCTTTTAACGAACGGAAAATCGCCGAGCTCTTAAAACACGTCTAAACTTAACGGCTGCCACAGACAAAGTAAACAATGAAAACAGCTAAAGTTTTTATCATACCAACATAATAAAGAAAATTTTATGACAACCGGACCCTCCGAACCCGCGAAATTTAAGAATTCCCGTTATTTTCTGAACACACCTCGTATAGCATCAGCATCATTCTAATTTATTCTTGTAGATTGCAAAGTGATGCGTTTGGCCTGAAAAGCATTAACCGACACTGTGGGTGCGTGTTCCTTTGAAACGGAATTCCACGTCTTTTAAATCGAATCAAACAAACATTTATTATAAACGCTCACACTACAGGCAGCTCCCTTGATCCAATGATTCCACCACAAAATTTATTATCTTAACGAAGGAACACGTAAACATTAAGTACCAACAAAAATAAACATCAAAGACGGTTTTTGCTTGATGGTTTCCATCGGAGTATTCATCAAATGAGTTTTGAAATTAGTGTTTTCAAAAACAGATAAACATACAGTTTGCGCCAGAAGAAAAAGAAATTCTTTGTATGAGCTATTTAAGGTTCTCAGGTGGTGTTTTGTAGAGTCGTGTTTTTAAATGACCCCAAAGAAAAAAATCAAGTGGTGTTAAATCTGGGGATCTTGCCGGCCATTCTTGAGCACCTCTTCTACCATTCCATTTCTCAAGAAACTTTTGGTTCAAGCATAGTGAGAAGGAGTATATCTCGATAAATAAATTGACTTGTTTTTGCTCAAGATCATGTTTACTATAACTCAAAGGTTATTAAGGGTGGCTGGTTTTTAATTGTACATCGTATAAGTTGTTGCTTTTAAAGATCTTGGTCTAAACAAAACACAAAAGTTCACTGCACAGTGTTATTTATATAACACATTAAGATTAAATATTATTACACTCAGAGAAAAAAATGTTATAAAATCAATAAAAACGATAATAATTCAAAGGGATTTAAACATATGTTTACATCATTGGTGTGTCCCAATAAATTAATAGGTGTATATATACATAATAAAAAATGTATAGAATAAAAATTAAATGATTCGAGGAGGGAAATCAATCAGTACTAAAATTGGTCCTCATACTCTCCTCCTTATAGGGGGAACAGGGGTAACTTTAAAATTTCCAATGGAACAGCCTATTTTTTATTGCAGATTCAGATCATTCGACTAAAAATAGGTAGATTTTGTCTAAAACATTTTTTTCATATTTGTAATAGATGGCGCTGTAATAAAAAAAACAAATTTGTTCGATTTTTCTTCTGTAGGTATATGATTCTCCAAAAATTTTTGAATAAAATACTTTTTTAATTTTAATTAAAGTAGGTGCTCAAAATGGTGGCATTCGACTTCAATGCATTTATTAATTCGCATTTTGTTTTAATATTTTGCTAACACTGCTCTGGAATATTCCCAAATCTCTAGAAAATTCTCGTGTGCTTGCATGAGGATTAGCGGCCGTTGCTGCTAATACATTAATTTCATTATTTCTACCTGTGACTGTTGCTCGACGAACTCTTTTTATAGTAACATTCCCGTTTGTAGTAAACTGCTTGACTGTACGGTGAAATGAAGTACGTGATCGAATTTTATCCGGAAAACGCTGAACGTAGATATTAACAGCATCATCAAGATTCCTGCCTGCTTCTCCATAAATCAAAATTATTTGTATTTTTTCTTCCACTGTTAAAAAATCCATTATGAATAACTGCTTAACGAAAGGAGGTCTTTTTGTTTGCAAATTAATCTTCGAACTAAATTGATTAAATAATGCTAATCTATAAATAGTTTCTTTATACCTCAATAATAATTATTATTTATAACTAAATACCATTTTTTATACCCCAATTAGGATTAAATTAATTAATTGACAATTTAATCAGATTTAATTTACCTAATAAGATAATTATTACCAAAAAAGTGATATTTTTATAGAAAAATTATTGCAGAATCGTATACAGAATAAAAATCGAACAAAATTGATTTTTTTTATTACAGCGCCATCTATTACAATTATAATAAATAAACAAAATTTTTATTTTAAACATTTTTTCGTAAAATGAACGAGAATGAGATATTTAAAAGTTTAAAATACTCACCTTGTATATAACAATTTTATAATGCTATTTTTTTAAACAGTGTTTAGAAACGCAATGAAATAAATATATTTCTTTTCGTATACATATTATACACTTAAACATAACCTTTAAATACATTGTAAAACGTATATAAAACTACAAAATGTTCTATTTGAATCAAATATACCCGATTATTTAAATTAAGTGTAATTATATGAAATAATATTTTAAATATAAATCCTTATATAAGCCTATGGCGACACCATAGTATTATAGCGGGAAAGATTAAAAAATATAGTATTTTTAACAAGTTAAAAACTTTATTTGCATCTGACTTACTTTTGAAAAGTTTTTGTTGCTGTTGTCACACCAAGAAATTGAAGACCCAATGTTTGTACCTCTGTTTTTCCCTGTTTACACCAAAAACCTCTAAGACACCACCAACAGTCGAGAAATCGCGACGCGTAATCTACGAATCAAACAAAATCTCGGCGCGAATTTAAAGCACATGTTCCGCAGGCACGGCGCGCACTGCACGGCAAAGACTTGAATGCCGGCTCTGCGATGCCACGAAGTAAACGAGCTTCGCGAGCGATACACACCCGACACGCCACAACCGCGTACGTACGACCCGCTCGAAGGGCACTACAGCATTGTTTACGGAGGCTGCGGCTGCTGCTGGTTGGGACCGATGCTGCCACGCGCACAGTTTGCGATTGGGATTGTTTTGCAAGGGATAATAAGGCTCCCAAATATCATTTTTATAAGAAAACATACAGGGTGTTCCATAATATATGCGCAGGACTTCAGGATGTGATAGCTCATCCAAAAAGATGAAAAAAGTCGCTATTAACTTACCCTCTAAAATGCACAATTTTCGAGATACAGGGTGTTGAAATTTTAGAAAAAAAAATCGTTTTTTTCGAATATCTCCGGAACCGTTTATCGTAAAAAAACAGCTTTTGTAAGCATTTTCTACTCAAAATAAGCTATGTTTTGTGCCAGAAAAAAAATTTTTTTTACTCATAATTGGTGGAGATTTTGAAGGGGTAGCGGGTGTTTTTCTTCTCAACTTCTACGCCCTTGAAAAATGTACGGTTTTGAGAGGCCTATTCGAACCGCCAATGTTTTCTACACAAAAAAGGTACTCTTGGTCATAAGCTCTAAAGTTGACCGTTTTCGAGAAAAATCAACTTTTATGTTTAAAAACATGGTCAATTTTTTGAAAAAAAAATTTTATTACTAATTAAACAAAATTTATTTTAACGTTAGAAAAAGTAACAAAACCAAACGATAATTGCAAAATAAAAAAAAATAAAAAATGATTTTTTACTCAAATGCTGAAATGTGCGAAATTTACGGTTTGGAGAATTAAGCAAAGACAACTTTTAAATCATTTTTTATTTTGCAATTATGGTTTGGTTTTGTTACTTGTCCTAACGTTAAAATAAATTTTGTTTAATTAGTAAAAAAAATTTTTTTTTTTTTAAATTGACCATGTTTTTAAACATAAAAGTTGATTTTTCTCGAAAACGGTCAACTTTAGAGCTTATGACCAGGAGTACCTTTTTTGTGTAGAAAACATTGGCGGTTCGAATGGGCCTCTCAAAACCGTACTTTTTTAAGGGGCGTAGAAGTTGAGGAGAAAAACACCCGCTACCCCTTCAAAATCTCCACCAATTATGAGTAAAAAAAAAATTTTTCTGGCACAAAACATAGCTTATTATGAGTAGAAAATGCTTACAAAAGCTGTTTTTTGTACGATAAACGGTTGCAGAGATAATCTAAAAAAACTATTTTTTTTCTAAAATTTTAACACCCTGTATCTCGAAAATTGTGTATTTTAGAGGGTAAGTTAATAGCGACTTTTTTCATCTTTTTGGATGAGCTATCACATCCTGAAGTCCTGCGCATATATTATGAAACACCCTGTATATAGTTTTTTTACAATATATGTGCATTAGGGTGGTGCAACATATGAACATTTTTAAAATTGAATTCTAGTATATGATAAAAATAAATGTTTTGGTAATTTTTTAATTTTTTTTTTAATTTCCTTACACCGCCCCAAAGCCATCTTAAAAATCCATCCTAAAAATTCAAATATTCAGACAGAGGTGGAAAACACTTTAATTTTTTTTGAGCCAAGATGTTATTTTTAGCATAATTAACGTTTACAAAATAAAGTAATTTGATTTTTAACAATTTTAAAAATATATAGGTATATTTTAATATTTCAGATTAAGCCGGGATTTTTTTAAATCAAAGTGTCCAATTTTGGAAAACTTACTAATGTTCAAAATAAACATTTTGGTGACAAAAATATCTATATTTTTAAATTCCTTCCACTGCCGCAGAAAACATAAAAATTATAATTTTTAGCTGGAGCAAAAACGGTAATAATAACTTAACATAAGGGTATTTGGACCTGGATTAACATAAAATCTGGTTAATATTTGGTTAAAATTAAAACATATTTTTTTACTGTGTATTAGAAAATGTTGAAAAAAAAAATTTACAAAGTTTAAGAAAGATTGACCGTCTGGTTTCCGAGTAAAAAATATTAAAGTTGCCAATATTATCAATCTGTCATTTTCGTCTAGAGGATACGGCAACACTAGATTACGAACACGTGATTATCAGGGATATTTGGTTTGATTTATTTGGTGACTACCATAATTTGGTCTTTAAAGTAAATTATTTAAAAAACACAATTGTATTGTTATGTATTATTAGTTATTGTGTATATATTGCCTTTTAAAATAAAAAATAACTATTAAATTAGTTAGAAAATTGTTTTTTAAAGAAATGTAATAAAATGACAAAGTAAATTTTGTTTTTGCAAGTAGGTACCTATGGCTATTTATGCATTAAAAATCAAAGCAACTCCCCTTACCCCTTTCACCGCAATGCACTGCCCAAACCTCCTTATATATAGTTATTTCATTTTAAAAAAAGATATAACTTAAGTTGGACATTTTTATTTAAATTGTTCGTTTTATAATTTAAAAAAATATTTAAAGTCATCTTGAGTAATACTTCTTATAAAATCATTAATTCTGGATGAATAAAAGCAAATTAAAAAATTAATATAATAATTTTTTCCGAAAAACTTGAACATTTTGTAGAAAATTACTATTGTTGGTAAAATATTCTTTAAATTCAGAATAAACAAGTTTTTCGAAAAAAAAACAAAAAAAATAAAAATGGCAAACCAAAAAATATAATTAATTATTATTACAGCTACAAATTAGAAAATTGGTGTCAATTTTTCTTTTGGTTAAAAATGATGAAAAACAATTGAACGTAGGGTTTACAAAAACATTTTTTTCTGCATTTTTTTACCTTGTATACTTGTATATTTAAACATTTAAAAAAAAATACCTTGGAACAAAAAATTATGACTGCATTACTACCGTTAACCAAAAATACCCGACGTTCAATAATTTTTTTGTTTTCATCATTTTAATCAGATATAAAAATTCCACAATTTTTTTAACTTAACCAATCTAAAAAACCTGATTTTGTATGCTAAATGGTTGTAATTGCATATCTTAATGTACTTTTTAATTCTGATTAATTTTTTTCGTATACGACTGCAAGATATTGATATCTGATTAAATCATTTTAGCAATGCAGAACTTTTTATCAGGAATGACTTTTATAAAACCAACAATAAAAAAGTTTTCCATATGGTACCAACTTAAGTATGTATACAATGTACATATAAAGACGTTTTTCAGAATGAGTACAATTTTTTTCAAAAAAAAAGCAAAAAAATAAAAGTAGCAAACTAAAAAAATTTATAACTTTTTATGGAAATTAGTTATATTTTCCGTTTTTTACAAATTAAGTTTATATTTGATAAAATTCCATACTATGGAAATGGTATTAAATTGTAACAAGCGCCTTCAGATTTAATGTTAATAAAAATTCTATAAACTAAAAGTAGTTTGTAATTATAACAAACAGTTTTGTAAATTTAATATTTAATATTTTAAATCCTATGTCAATAATTCAATCATAACTCTTGTAATTTTCAAAAAGGACCTTATTTTTACAAACCTTTTTGTAGACACAGTAACAAAAGTATTTTTTGGAAATTGGATTCTTAAATGAATAGAATTTTGAAAAATTAACACACATCTGATTTTTATAACAGTGTAATGTCAATTAGCCAATCGTTATTGAGGTATTATATCCCTAATACCTACCAGTGTATAGAAGCAAGCATATCGCCGAAGTATTCTCTCCCCCTTCGCCAATATCCAATCTATTTTCGACCTACCCAAACACCGTGCAACCCTTCTGTATGCCGAAAACAAAGCGGCTAGCACCGTAGGTACGCGCGGGAAGCAGTGAGCAGAGAACAGAGAGGACTGCCCCAACATGCATTGTAGTTTGCCGCTTGAGGCAAAGGCGGCCGAGTTTTGGGTCTCCTCAGCCTCCCCGATATCGCGACGCATCGGTTGCGATTTCGATGGTTCAGCGGAATATTAAAACCGGAACTGAGGGGGCTAATACAACAATTTGGTTTTCAGTAAAAAATTGAAGAATGGGGTAGTTAAATTTTTTCTGACCTATACTTTTGATGGTTTTATTCAAGGCGTTTTGTAATTTTAAACATTTCTGTGAAATCGGAATTTCAATTGAGTTTACCGTTTTCGAGATATTTACAAAAAAAATCTCCTAATTACGTCACTAGGCTATTGACAACGTTGCCAGCTTTTTCTATGGTTGCCAGTTTGTTTAGTTTAAGATTCTTACGATAGATGGCGCCACGTTATAATATTTTAGTTTTAAAACCACTTGATCTATAATTTTAGTTGAGAAGAAGAAGAAGAATTGATTTTTTGACGTTTCTTTTTTTCGGGTTATGTTTTTTTAAATTTAGATTATTGAAATTCAATGTTATTGTTATGTTATTTGTAAATGATATTAGATAAGTGATTTATTAATAACGGACTCCAAAGCAGAGGAATCTTGTGGAATGGTTGGTTACATTGAACATTGGAGCTTTTAAACAAATAAAGTAAGTACCTATAATTATAATCATATTTTGTCGTAAATGCATTTCATTAGTATAATGCCTAGTTCTTTATAATCTTTTAGATATATCTTGGACTTTAAAATATCAAACAGTAATATGATACCTCGCAATAAGGAAGATAGGTACTTAATGAATTTTGTGACCATCTTTCACTCAACTGACAGTGACAGTATTTGTACATAACCTCTTCGGGTATTTTCTGACATAACCGAATGAAATCATTAACAAGACAACTTGACAACAGGGTAATTTTCAACCAATAGAAATCTTAGAATGTTGGTCACATGGCGAGGTTTGTGACGTCATAAAAATTTATATTTTTTGTAAATATCTCGAAAACGGTAAACTGAATTGAAATTCTGATTTCACAGAAATGTTTAATATTACAAAACGCCTTGAATAAAACCATAAAAAGTATAGGTCAGAAAAAATTTAACTACCCCATTATTAGTAAAGATGGGGTATTTAGGTACTAAAAACTGAAAAATAGGTAACTAAAAAGGTACTAAAAAAAGCATTTTAGGTTAAAAAAACAACATTTTAGGTAAAAAAAAACATTAAAAATTCAAGTTTTATTTATTTATATAAAATAAGTAGGTAACATAAAATATTTTTTTTATAAACTGAC